GCGGGGATTACGAGGTAGCGGGGTAGCCTTATCACTGGCTGGAGTCATACCTACTATAAGGGGAGGAGATAGTATATGAGAATCTATGTACGTCAAAGTGATTAACTATTAATCAAGGTGTTCCACAGTGCTCGATACTTGGGCCTGTATTAAAAATAATATGCAGGATGGCAGAATAAATACAAAACATGCAATAGTTTTTGAAAAAAAAGCAAGAACAGGTCGATTTTGGGTGGAAGGGGGACATTATGTACTTTTACCACCCTTGGCGTCAATCCCCCAAGCAGAATTGCACGTTGCTACCCCTACAATGATTTTTAAATGATAAAAATATATGTTTGCTCCCCTCTGCTTGATCTCGATATTGCGATAAGTACATGTGAAGCAATTCAGCGTAAATTGCGAAGAAATGCCAGTTTTAAATTGCACAGTTTTGGGAAAAAAATGAAAATTTAACACCTCTGTCAACTAAAGTCACAAATTTTGTACCTATTGCATTCATGTACATCTATCAAAAAATGGAGAAAAACATATTACCGTAAAGAGCAAGATGGTGACATTTTTGGTAGAGAAGTGGCCCGTTTAGAAGCCCACACAGACTTCAAATCACTAAGGGCATGCACAATGCTGGACCAAGTACCGAAATTGAGAGCAGATCCAGTTCCGGTTTGATCCTCAAGTCTATGCATAAAAATTTCTACAGAATTCAAAACACCTAAAGCATAAGTGAGCAAACGCTAATTCAAATGACAACTTCACCTTGGAAACTCTTTGTTATAAAATTCATTGGCATTTCGACACCTATACTGTCCATTCCACACCCGTGGACTATGTAAACACCTTTTTCTTCTGCAGTATTGCCATACCGTGATAACATAATGTCTTGGAAATGTGTTTCCCCTGTTACATCTACGTAATGCGTGCCAGTCATGGCACAGCACTTTACCACAACTTCCCCATAAAGTTGGTAGGGCCCGCAGCAGTTAAGTACGATCTTTGTTTTTTGAGCCATTGGCCAGTATCGAAAGCTCGTCAGCAACATCCGCAATGATGATGGGAGTTGAGTTCAAGGAATCCGCGCCTTTTAATTACAAAATAATTATGCTAATCAACGAAACGATCTTAAATACCGAGCTTTTGGGCGTATTCGCCTAACACCCTCTTCAGTTTTTCCTCAGACCGTCCCGCAATTCCCCATTTTAATTGCCTACCATCTTCTTCGCATAGTTTGTGTAGGTAGGGAATGGTGCGTTTACCAGTAAAACCAGTAGCACCAAACACAACTAAATCCAATTTGTGATCCATATTTACGAAGCTTACTTTCAATTCGTGGACATGAAGCAAAAAATACACTAATTGAGTCAATCACAGTCGGGAATCAACATCAAATACGGCGTCACACTGAACCTTACATTTCTGTTTTTATGTAGCCTTGTAGGTACCTGCTTTGTGGCCTTCATGCAATTATATAATCTTACTGCGTTGTCTACAAATATATGCATGTAATTAATTTTTAATGCACACATCCTATTTATAATACCATCTTTTGCAGTATTTTTGGAAAAAGTACAGAACAAAGTGCAATTTCGCCTATGTTAAATATAGTGAAGACGCGCTTCCGATTTCATATGTTCATTTCAAAAAGTAGGTACTTAATATATTTTTTTTTAACTTTTATCTAGTGGACACACATTTCGTCTGTACAAAATGAAGTATTTTTGGAATCATTTCGATACCTTTTGTTGCTTTCAAATGTTGAAAATAATACCTATTTTTTAAATCATTTTATAAATTTATACAGGAATTGGAGTGATATTGAGGATAAAAAACGTGTCATATTCGTAGTAGATCCCACATAAGGTCAACCTTCGCTCATCTGTTTACCGACTAAAATACATTTTTTAACTATCTTAATATGTAAACAAACACATTGAAAATGGGTGGCCTAAAGAAATAATGAAGTCATATAAACTTTACGTTCGCGTCGGCGTTCGCTGTTCGCGTCCGTCGGTGCAGAGCTTATTTCGGTTAAGGTATTTTTGATTTACTTAGTACAGTTTGTTCATGAAAGTGACAAGAATTATTTCTGTGAAAGATTTATGATGAATGAGCATATATAAAAGACTTATAATAGTTATTAATGATACAAGTTCGTTTATGAACGTCATAATGAAACGCGTGTAATGTTAAATTCACGAGGCGCAGCCGAGTGACTTTAGTTACACAAGTTTCATTAATAACGTTCATATAGAACGACATAGGAGTAGAAAATAGTAATTATACACCAAGGTAGAGAAGTTGATTTTCTTAGCCGAGCGGTATTATTTCCCGAGACGCTTCGCGTCGAGGGAAGTAAGAAGCGAGGCGATGAAAAGTCTTCTCTACCGTGGTTTATATGTTATTTTATTCACTATACTAGCAGATGAACTGTTTTAACACATATTTAAATATCATTAGAAAACACGATTTTGGCGATTTTAAGTACCTACCTATAATAGGTAGGTATTTTTACAAGAAGGCTGTGATTTTGACATATTGCATTATTTGTAAGTCGCATTTTGCGTGTTTCGCTAATTTCTGTTAAATAAATATGGATAGTGAATTTTTGTGCACTCCTCCAGACATACGAGAGGCAGCAAAAAGCGTGGCCGCTAACGACCTCTTGCCTGAAAAATCAAAACATTATTACAATAAAATTTATTTAAATTTTAAAGAGTGGTGCTAACAAAATGTGTTTCGCAAGTTAGTGAAAATGTTATGTTGGTGTATTTCGAAGAATATCGCGTACAATAAATGTGTGATTAATTATAATTTTCAAAAGTAAGTTCTTTAAGTTCTGTTTGTTGAGTTCAATAAAATCCTTGTTTACTTCGTTAGCTACAACGATACGATAGTTATTTATTTATTCCCCTAATTATAGGCCAACCTAAATGTCAAATTCATTATCTCCTATAAGAGGAATAATCCACGAGGTAGAGAAAAATAAAATCTAGCATCGAATACCAGCCTACTAATTATACGTTGTAATGCTAGTAGTGAATAATAGTAGATAATGTATTAAGGGATAAAACAAGAGTATAATTCCCCGAGGGAACAGTAATACTCCGAGCGACGTAGTCGCGAGGGTATTGCGTTCCCCGAGGGGAATTATACTCCGTTTTATCCCGTGGTACATTCTACGTTTGATTTTTTATTGATAATAGTAGAATTACTGTTGAAAAGTAAATTAATTTGCAAATAAAAATTTCACATCTGATTCGCGTTGTTGCATATGGGGTTGGCTGCGACTGCCATGGTTACCTAGTTACGTATATAAACAACAAAAAATGCTGCGTCCGTCATTTTGAAAGCAATTTTTGTGTCGTTTGGCTTTGTTCAAGAACGGAAAATGTTGGAAGGGAATGAAGATGATGATGTTCCCATGGGGGGAATAAAAGAAGCTGAAGACGCTCTTAAGGAGTTAGTGCCGGTGACTTCAAAAACATTATATGAAAAGAATACTTTGTAAATTGCGCTCGGAAAAATCCTTGAAGATTGTGAACGAAAAAATTCTTTTGGCGTATTTTAGTGAACGATCTAAGCAGGGAAAACCGTCTTGTTTGTGGACCTACTACTCCATGCTTAGATCCATGCTGCGTGTGCGAGAGAACCTAGATATTTCAAGGTATTATTTATACACATTATTAGTCGAATTTGGACAATACTAAGACGTTTTTTTGGATTACAGTTATGGGCAATTGAAAACGTTTTTAAAAATAAGAATCAAGAATTTTAGGCCAAGAAGTCTAAGATTCGCCATTCACTGTCTGAGGGAAATCTGAAAAGTACCAAGGTGTATTTCAAAATATTGTTTTACACACAATTGCTACGACAATGGATCTGTATCACAACCTACCAAATGAATGAAGTTAAGTATCGTAAAAGAAGACCATTTTAAGAAATATAACATGGTTACCACCTATGAAATGTCATTCTCGTTCTTTCTGTAGGTTTTGACTTATATTACACGATTGACAGCTAACCCCTGTGTTTGACTTTACCGTAAATGTCAATTAATTGTCAAAGTAGTCCTATTGTTCTGACAGGGAATTATATTTTATAATTCCCGTTGTTATGACAGCGGGAATTATGGGTCTGTTTATGTGGCTATAGACTAGTATTTTAACCACCATGTAAATTATCAATAAAAAATAAAGGATATTAATACACTTCACGTGCCAAACCAAAACAAGCAACTTTGACAGTTTGACTTTGACACTTCGGTGAACTACGAACTGCCAGCGCGAACGCGGGCAACAATAGTTATTTATGCATCAAGGACATTAAGGCAATATTTATGCCGAGGGCGACATAGCCCGAGGGGCCTCTGGCCCCGAAGGATTGTAAGTTGCCCGAGGGTTAAATATTGAGTAATGCCTGAGGTGCATACATTTTATTTTTCATCGTTCCAAAGAATGCATTTTCAATATACAAATGTCATGATTATTATTTGCCCAACATTAATGTGCTTCATACGAATGAAGTTGCATCTTTTTTATTACATAATAATATAACTCCATCAATCAATTTGACAGGCCGTTTGAGGGCATAATGAGATGACAATCCAATGCCCTCTCATATATGCCCTTGGGCGTAATAGACTGCTGTATATGTCAGATATAATTGACATATAATAGGCAAATGAAAAATAAAGTTTATACCTACATACAAATTAATGTCATTACTATTTCCGTCTGCTTCTATCACATCACGTTAGTGCATGTTCTCTCTCTCTCTCTCCCTCAAGATTGTTGAATACTTACGCTTGATATGTTTCATTATAATGATAATGTAAATACTAAAAAATTTTTTCCCAATGAAATTGGTGCATAAATAATGATTTTTAGAAATGTATATACATACTACAAACTTAAGTCACTATGTATGTACCTATTGGATATTTGGAAACAATTTTTGCACAGGAAGTGTATAGGGATCTTCTTGCCACTGATAATTCTACGTATTTTACGTGAAATAAAAAACAGACACTTTTATTAAACCCAAACATACCCTTCACTAACAATATTACAAATCATTCACAGATAATATTTCCAATGGAACCCCATTTTTCTGTAATGCTTCCACCATTGATGTATGAAAGAAAGCAACTGCAGGCGTGTACACACCTCCCCTAATAATCGAAGCTATTAACACACACTCAAATGATTTATATACCTACTTCTTAGGCAACTTTGAAGGTTCAGTTAATATGATAATTGCCGACAGTACCACAGCCAAGCATGTAAAGCCATAGCCAGGATTAACAATATCAATTTTGCCCAAAATACTTTTATTGGGCCGTTGATTGAATTCAATATCTTTCTTATCGCTCCAACCTTTCCCATAAAAATACATGTCAATTGTACTGTTTTCGATCATTTCTTCACTAGGAGATTCGTGATCAACATATCCTCCTGAGAATACCTTTGGATACTGTAATAGACAAATTAGTAGTAGTAGTCCCTATGTCAATGCAATAAATACTTTCAGCAGTAATTTTTTACCACAACTAAACTGACTGAAAATAATCGTTATCAATCCCATAAACAGTAGCTTCAGAATACTTGTCCATGACTCTAATAGATAGTAGTGGCGGACCTGGATAGGTCTCTGCCCGTTCTTATAAAAGTATTGTTGGGAGCGATTGATTACGTCTGTGTCTGGAGAAGGAAATGGAAGAATCCTTTTGTTTGGAATACCAATGCTTGCATTTTTGCTGAACGGGAACCTAAAATAAATGCACAATTCTTGAAAAATACAACACGATTTGCTAAAATGTTCAAAATTAAAACAAAAAGCACTATGGTTATTAAACATTTAAGGAAAAAGCTTTTTGGCAGAATAGCGCATGCGCAAGTGTATCAAACTCTCATTTGTGGCTAAAGGGCTGACCCGATGGGAACCAAATTTGCTACACATATTCTTAAAACATAGAAGAAAGAGCGGAAAAGCTTTTGGGCAGAACGTGGACATATATGCCAGCGAAGGTTTCTGATTGAGTAAAAGTGTGCAAGGTAAGGTGAAACGGGTCTGCCAATATTGTTATAAAAATGGCTCACGAAAGAGAACGTATTTCCACAGGGATGGCGCAACTTTTTAGGATAAAGGTGGTTCAATTGTTTTATTTTAGTTCTACATTCTCTTGTGTAATTTTCACTCTACTTCATTTTAAAAATATTCTGTACAATTTTGTGCATAGGTAGTTTTGGTATAGAAATGAAAATTTCACCCCTCGGAGCCCTTGTGTCAATTAACACACCAATTATGTATTGTATTCATGTATAGGTATGTCTATCAAAAAATAAATAAAAAAACCTTTTACCGTAAAGGACAGGATGGTGACATTTTTGGTAGAGAAATGGCCCGTTTAGCAGCCCACACAGACCTAAAATCACTAAGGGAATGCACAATGCTGGACCAGGTACCGAAATTGAGACCAGATCCTGTTGTGGTTTGGTTCCCAAATTTCGACATCATAAAAACTTCTACAGAATTCAAAACACCTAAAACATATGTGAGCAAACACTAATTCAAACGGCAACTTCACCTTGGAAACTCTTTGTTAGGAAATTCAATGGCATTTCGTTACCCATGCTGTCCATTCCACATCCGTGCACTATGTAAACGCCTCTTTCTTCCGCAGTATGGCCATATCGTGATAACATAATGTCTTGGAAATGTGTTTCCCCTGTTACATCTACGTAATGTGTGCCAGTCATGACACAGCACTTTACCACAACTTCTCCATAAAGTTGATAGGGCCCGCAACAGTTGAGTACCATCTTTGCTTTTTTAGCCATTTCCAGTATCGAAAGCTCATCTTCAACATCCGCAATGATGATGGGAGTAGAGTTCAAAGAATCCGCACCTTTTAATTACAAATCAATTATATCCTATTGAATGAAACGATATTAAATACCGAGCTTTTGGGCGTATTCGTCCAACACCTTTTTCAGTTTTTCTTCAGACCGTCCCGCAATTCCCCATTTTAATTGCCTTCCATCTTCCTCGCATAGTTTGTGTAGGTAGGGAATGGTGTGTTTACCAGTAAAACCAGTAGCACCAAACACAACTATATCCAACTTGTTGTCCATTTGTGAAGTTTTTAATTCGCGGACGTGAAGCAAAAAATAAATTAATTGAGTCAATCACAGGTGGGGAATCAAAAACAAATCCTGTCCCCTACTGAACTTTGCACTTCTGTTTTTATCTAGAGTTGTATCTTGGCGGGGAACGTAATGGCTTTCAGATCATTATATAATTCTTACTGATTAGATATATTTCTCGATGGGTATATGTTTACAAAAACATATAATTAATTTTTAAATAATGCCTGTGTGTTCATTGAAAAAGGTAGTGAACGTTAGAACTACGTCATATTGTCTTTGAACTACTATAAGTCCTTAGAACTATCCGAAGCAACACACATACATCAGATAATAGACCAGAGGCAGCGTACATAGTAACCATTGAATTTATAACTATTATAAATTCAATGATAGTAACTAAAGCATAAGGGACAAAATATTCGACAATACAGGCTGAAAGTACGTTGAAACCTAATAATAAAATCACTCGTCTGCCAGTCGTAAGTGGCAACATTAACTTGGGGCGGCTCTGAATAGATGACTTCTTTAGGTGATCAACTAAATTACTAAACTATAAGGGTCACAGAAAAGATTTATATCAAGAAATCCCATTTTTACCATAGTTCTCAAATATGCTATGGCAGACGATTTCAAGTGCAGCGTTGGTAGCGAAAGATGCCCTTCAATGTAGGGAAAAACACCTCTGAACTAAACCATGAGACCGTATAAAATTTATACATAAAAAATTCCCCTTTTTGTCACTACTTTAAAATGTATCCTGGCAGACGATATTAAGTGTAGCTTAATAGTGGCAGACGTCTTAGAAGTTAAAAAATTAAATCCCAGCGAGTACGAGCGTGTGAGAGATAAGTCTTTGTTGTCGAATCTGCCTTTTTTGGGTGCAATTAACTTTTCGCCCGTGCAGAGGTAGATGCCGAAGTGATAAAGATACTTCGCGGCATTCATGTCGAAATACAACATTAGTCTAAGATTGCCGTATTCAAGACCTTCAGATACCTTCTGGACTGGAAGATGTCCGGCTAATTAACTATGTTATTTAATGTACTTTTATGCAAGAGACTTCGGAATGTTATACCCTTCACAAATGGGAAAGGATTGGAGGTACTTTTTATCTACTTGAGATGGCCATTTTCAAGCTTATGGAATTTGTTATTAAATTATCGTCAGATTTAAATTTTTCAAATTCAAGTGTTGCTTACTCGGATTGTCCAAATTTGTAGGAACTCTTTTGGCTTTTTGATTCATTTTACTTTACTATAAACCTTCTTTAACTTTTCAAATTCAAAGTATTTGCATTCCACCTTTCCGATAATAAGCTTGGGTACGAGTGCTGCAACCGGTCTGTCATAACGTAGGGATCCGATCATTTTTTTTTAAATTTATAATTAAAGAGCTTCGACTGAAAAATAGGCCATTAGCTCTTGTACGGTTAGATTTTTTCAAATAAAGATATGTTTTTGAGGAGCGGCATTGTATTTGAGCGTCCCTCACCAAGGGCGTCCTTTAAGTTATCTTTTATGCTATACAATTTCCTTTGATTAGTGTATTCTGTACATTCTAATATTATATGTTTGACAGTGACAATTTTTTTACAACGTTCGCAATAAGGAGGGTCGTCCTTAGTGATAAGATGCAAATGAGTTAATCGCGTATGGCCTATTCGCAGTCGGGTCCGGACTACAGATTCTCTTCGGTTTTGGAGGTAGGTTGTCTTCGATTGCCGCGAGACTTCTGATGGCTTAATTTCTTTTAGTTTGTTGGCAGTTGCGGACCATTCTTCTTGCCAAGCGGCTTGGAGGACTTGTTTGTAGTGGCTCTTTAAATCACTAAGGGTAGTGTCGTTGATTTCCGCTGCTTCCGAAGAGGCGGATGCTGTTATTGCTGCCCGATCTGCCTTTTCATTCCCTTTGATTCCTACATGAGATGGAATCCAGCAAAACCTTACATTTTTCTTAATCGAAACTGTGTGTGCATACTGAGCCAGTATTTTGTCGCTTATTTAATTGTTGGGGTCGTATTTTTGAATAGATTGTAAGGCACTTAAAGAGTCACACACAATTAAACAGTTTATAATATTATCTCTTTTAGCTACATAGATAAGAGACTGTAAGATGGCGAAAAGTTCTCCACTATATGCATGTATTATAAAATTCCATGGCATCACAGATTATTGAAAAAGTGGGGGTTTTATTTTCCAATTTTCCGTCTTTATTATGCAAAAAATTGAAAACTAATAGGGTTGATTGACGTAAAAATTTTTTTCCTACAAAAAACCTTAATACATTTTTGCTCTAAAATAATTTGGGGAGCCAATAATCGCATGTTATGAATTTTACATTGAAATCCCTATGATGGGTTACGCAAGTCACCACCCTGTATATATATATTTTTATATGGTGATGAGTGATGACCATCATTTCGAGCATTTGCGGCGGCATTAAAAGCTTCCTTATGTAATAAAAATAAGTCCGGAAAAATTAGCTTAAAAAAATAAAATTTTGAGGGTATAACATTTTCTTTGGCCTGAATTTTAGGTTAGGAACAAGATATCGAGATGCGGTTTTCGCGAGCTTGTTTAGGCATTTTTTAGCTACTTTTGCATGAAAAAGAATCAAACCAATGCATTTAATTTTTTTGAGAAAATTAACCATTTCTGTCGGAATGTCTAAAAAAGCCCTCAAGCGGCGATATGTGAAACTAACAAAACTTCAAATATTATAATATTTGTAGCCGAAGAATAACTCTTTTCAATTAACCCGAGTTTGTTAAAAGCGGTTGAGTCGTTTCGAAGATACAGGGTGTTCTTTACGGAAACCTTTGAATACCCCCACCACTTCATTTTTAGAGATACAGGAAAAATTGCCAAACAAAAAAGGTTCAGATTATCGTCGCCTTCAAAGACCGGACATTTTTTTGTTAGGTTAATATAGCGGAATTCACAGACAAATCACTTTTTTAGATTCCAGTAAAGTCACTAGATATAGAAAGTACCGCAATCATCCGCCATTTTTGGGCAAATTTGCTGCCAACTAAAAAAAATTGACAAATAAAATCTGAATAGCTGTAATTTTTTATAACCTAACTTCATAGTACTGTCATGTAATCATGTTTTATAAAAATATCATATATCTTCTCTTATATATATGAAAAATATATACAGATATCTCCAAACAGGTGGAACAATCCCTAACATTAAAGTTACTAGAATCTGGTAACTTCCGCCATTTTTGGGCAAAAATCATGCGTTCTCTAACACATGAGCCCAATGGATTGCGGTACTTTCTATATTTAGTGACTTTAGATTCCAGATTGCAGTTACGCCCCCTAGCGGTCATTTCAGAAACAAAAATATTTTCCAGGTTTTTCTCGTGGCCGCTTTAGTAATAACTTTTTTTACCGCAAGCCTCTACGATGGACAGGTTCCCAGATACAGTACCTCGCATTCTTAGTTGGCCACCCTGTACAAATTCTAAATGTAAATGTATTGAAACCAGAGACTTGCTATAACTAGACTGCGCTTAACGTATCTAAGGTGTTGTCGACACAGTATGCAACACACAATGCACCGCGGGGCAAAAATCGCTGAGATGATATGCAATATAATGAAATAAGCTGTTATTTTAGATGTTCCGTTCATTAATCATTCTCGTGATTAGCTCGAATTAGTGAACAGATAAATTTCTGTTGAGAATAAACCAATAAACTTAGGTTAACTTGTGCCTATCAACATGTACTCTGTCGATAAATTTTTAAATAATATGCTGATTTTCAACGGATAAAAGTTTAAAGGGCCCATGGATCAGAGCCATTCGAAGAGAAAAATTTACTCCCACCATAGTGCATTTGCGGGGAATGAAGCCGATTTTAGAAAGGTACCTACGAAGGTGTAAACAATAATGCAATACCGAGCGTTTTCGACTTTCCCATTCACTTAAAATAACGTAGAACCGACATCCTTTACCAGCAAGACAACGGCAATACCTATTTGCCTATTAGGTATAGACGTAACTAAGTACTTACTGGTACTAAGTATATTTCAGGTTTTGTTACAAGAAAAATAGCTAAGTCTGTTAAATGTTCCATATGTGCAGATGCGATATTCGCATCAGAGAGTCATTCAAAGCTTTTAACTAGAAAAAAATCGTGGAGGATTGTTGCACGTATCAAGCGATGAATTAAAAATTTGCCAAATTGCTGAAAATGTGTTCAGGTTTTTCATTCAATCCACACCACACCGCGTTGTAAACAAAATGGTTATCAGCAGCCTAAGAAAAATAAATAACAGTTACAGCCCATTTGGGTTTTTGGATAGGCATATATTGAATCAAAATCCGCTAAATAATCATATCTTACTACTTACATCTTTAGTTTTAAGAGTATATTTTCCCATACGTGTTCACCACCAAAATACACATATAAATCAAATTAGGACTAGAGTAAGGCAGTTATATACCAATTTAGTTCAAATAAAATACCAATAAATTCGATTAAAACAGTTAACAGCTATATATGTTATCTTTTTTTGCTACTAAAATTTAGAATAAACATGGCTAAAGCAAGCTGCAGAACGTACGTCTGCCCCGCGATGAACAGTTGGTTGCCTATCCTATCTTGACAACAGGCGTTTATAGTAAAATCTACGTTACGCGCGGTCTAGTTATAACAAGTCTCTGATTGAAACAAGTATGTAGAAATTGTGCACAACTTGTCTACACGATAGGACAAATGAACGGATACGTTATAAGTTTATGCATATCTTTCCTGTTCATAATTATAATACCAATAAAACCATTCAATAAATACAATCTAGTCTCAGGTGTAAAGGTTTGTGTTTTCTCCGAATGACTGTTTTTGCTTAGACCTGTTTTGGTATTCGATTTATTTCATAAAGATTGTACTGATCTTAACCCACCCCAGGCTCGAAATGGAAATGACAGATTTCACGGAAAAGTGGCAACGTTGCAATCCCAGTATCAAAGCACGGTTCCCGCCTAAAATTCAAACAAAAGAATGGCACGTGATTGGATCGCCTACGGTAGGACCCCCTTACGTTACCCGAAGCTAATACAGTGACTCGGGACCCAGTCGGGCAGGAACACTCAAATAAAACACTGTAATGTCTGCGAGTTTATTTATTATAAACTTATTCTGAAAAACCCGGAATTTGGATGTGGTACATTAAAAGCAAAACAAGCAAAACCTAAAGGTGCCGCACTCTCGCAAAAGCAGACTACCAAGGCGAAAAAGAGTGCGACTTGAGAAAAACCTTGGCCGTGAATAAAACCCAAACTATGTTAATCACAAGCAAATTAAAACACCAACCACCTAAGCAGAACATGTAACACTACCTTAATTAATTAATGAATTCGAGTAGCAGGGTACGTTTGGACAGTATGCGTAGAGTATTCGTCACAACATGTCATGTA